TTACCAAAAAAAAAAAACCAACATAAAAGTTACCAGCTTTTAAGTATACAAACGTATTTAAAAGGGTATTACTATAGGATCTATACATAGAGTGAAAAATTCTGGAGAAAACTAGACTGAAATCTCAGCAAGATTAGGGTTTTGTGTTTCAATAAACTGTCTCTTTTCCAAACATCTGCAAGAAAGCCACTAGCCTGACACATTTTTGTAGATACTAAATTATGGGTTTTTTTCAAGACTAAGAACTTAAAATGCAGAAATTATTGCACAACACAGGAAAATCTCTTGCACAGGCACTGTAAAATCTCTGGATCCAGTTATTTTCATGTTTTTCTTGCTCTGTCATTTGAGATTAGGCATGTTTAGTTATCACCGCATTGCAGTTACATACACAAACTGTTCCAGGACAGTCACAGAAGCAGCTCCTGAAATCATGTATTTTTTCATTAGAAAGGAATGAGGGTTTTTTTAAATCTGTAATTGCTGGCTAAATACTTTTTTAGCAAAGTTACATCACAAACTCATTACAGTCTCCCCTTTAATGGGCATGTGTCCCTTAAAAATCCGTCTGGACTATGACTTGGTAGCATAAATGTCATAGCATATTATAGTAAAAACACTCCCCATTTACACAAGATCCTCATACAGATGCAAGAACTAGAAATAAAAGGACAGCATCTGCCCAAACAGGGACTATTTCAGATTTTATTGTCAAATCCTTTTGTTGTCATAATGTCTGAAGGCAAGACCAAATTTGGATTCACTAGACACCACAAACATATGAAGCAGTATATGGGAAAGTACCAAAAATGGTTTCAGTGGAAGTTGTTTGTGGCATTAACCAAATTCCTACCAATGGGACTACTCCTATGACTAAAAACAAACTGGATCACACATCCATGCACACACATATCCAGGTGTAGAGAATCTGCTTCAGAGACATGTGCAGCTTAGCATGCTAGGAGAATAGAAAAGGCAACAACTGATAGGGAAAAAAAAATTGATTATTTGGTTACAATTCTCTAGGCACAGATAACACTCTGATTTGACAATCTGCAGGTTCCACCTTCAATGGGATACCCGAGCACAATCAGCAGTAATTCCACTGGTGGAATGCCTTCATGAATATGTTATCCTATCCATGCCATAAGCAGGTGAAGAGTCACCTTGTCTAGAGAAAACCACTTCACTTTCACATAGACATGTATGTGTCACCTTTGAGTCCAGCCCGCCACAATCTCAATCCAGTGTTTCTCTCTGCTATCTATATCAAGTATATGTGACTCCAAACAACCACACAAAATATAAATAAACATAGCATGAACATATATAGGCAGATTCTTCTGTAATATCCATGACCACTTGGCTTAAAAATCATTCCCCTTTCCCCAAAACATACAGTTTTGTGGGCAGGTAGGCTGCAGTATCATCTTTGCTCTTGATGATATCATTACACTTGTCAAGCGTCTGAAAAACAGTAAATGTGTCTCCAATGCTGTAGAGAGCAGCAAGATTTTTTGCAAGCAGCTTCCGTGTAGGTGGCCCAGGGGAACTGCTGATGAGTCCTGTTAGCTGTTCTACAAGTTTCTTCTGTTTTTCCTTGACATCTGTCTGTTAACAGATCAAAAATAAGTAAAAGTTGTTTAATCCACTGTGTTGCTTCTAACACCCAGAAAAATCTATAAGAAATTGAAGTAAACTTTATACCACCCCCAATTGTATGTAACTCAGCAAATTGCTTGTCTCAGAGAGATACGAGATACATTCAACAACAGCAGAGACAGATGCTAAATGCTCAGAATTAGTTGCTGTCCAATTTAATTTTTGCTTTTTAAAAATACTTACCAGCTGCCTACTGACTGCCTACAATTAAACATTTAAATCTACAAATTAGCACCGAGTCTTCAGGCTGAATCTGAAACCATACAGGTATCATTTGGCCATTACCTGTAAACTTTCTCTGGCATGAAATCTATACAAATGCTTTTTAAAATGAAATTTATTTAGAAATAAGCGGGGGGGGAATACCCATTAAATTACCTTATTAGCAGCTACCAGCACTTTATCCAAAAATCTCAACCATTCAAAGATAAAAACTGGTCTCTTTGCTTCTGTGATTTGAGCTAATGCTTCCTCGTTCAGTAACAAACTATGAGCCAGCTCCATAATGGGTTGAATTCCAATTTTATTGCAAATCTGTGTAGAAACTCTAAAATAAAAATGTAAATATTAGTATAAAGAACAGTACCTCAGTACAAAGCTTTGAAAATCAAATGAAAATATTCAGCTTGCTTAGACTTGTCTAACCTAAATAATCCATCGTAAAAGCTACTCATATATTTACAAAGTAAGTCCATTCATTAGTATTTCAGGGAACGGAGCTGTTAACTGTAAAAAGAGCACCTACAGGCAATTTCAGGGTACAAACTCTCAGCCAAGAAAAATATACCAAAGTTCAAAGAAGGTAAAGGAATCATCTCACTGTCTCCACTTACATGAAAAGGATTGTCAAGTCAAGACCCTTGAGCACACACCCAAAGCTGGGGCATGAACCTGGCGCCTTTCTCAACACCCTTCAACAGCCAAGCTGAGAAGATGAGCCTACCACAAGTAGGAATTTCCAGCCAACGCAAGTTTGGGAGAAGCAGGAAGAGGGGTAGGATTTGGCATCACTGACCTAAGACTTCCCTGATCCCACCAATCTTGTTTCAAGTGGTGGACAAGCAAGCTCCCTGAAATCAAACAAGCCTTAGGAGTGACAGCCTAGAAGACAAGCAGCAGCCAAACTCCTGCACATCTCCCCAGCAGGCAAAATCCTGCAGATGGACACCGGTGATCCTGCTCAGTCAGTGGGGGCTGGCATCAAAGCACTACCAAAAGCATACTATCAGTGTAAGCAAGCACTCTGCCAACTTCATCTTAGCAAACCACTTGAAGAAAAGTGCAGCTATTGAATGCAGAGCTGACAGAAGGGAAAAAACCCACAAAACTTACCTAAAATCACAACATTAAATCAACCACCTTCAGCAAAAAGAAACCCAAGAAGCAAAAAAGCAACCCAACCCCAAAACCTGAATACAGAGCTGCTGAAACTAGGATCCCAGGCAAAATAGAGAGAGCAACATAACTACAGAGTATTATGTAAGACATCAGCTTTCAACAGGCATCATTTTTTGACAGCTGCACTGCTCCACTTTTGCTCTCAAGAGCTCACAGCTGCTTCCTCATTCATGGTCAGACACAATGAATTTTTAAAGTCAAATGAAGTGGCTTAAATCAATTTTTTTTAAACATTCCCCAAATGAGACATTAGTAAGGTGACATACTGATGTTGTACTATAGTTCTAAATCCACCTTAATGATTTGGTCCTGATGAAACAAGCATCACGACGTCTTTAACGTTGCCTGCACTTCAGCACTTTGTGTATTTTTCACTGCATACATCTCCAGTAAAGGTGGAAGAGCCACATATGGAAGGACACACAGCCCTCCCTAACTTCTCCAAAGACATTTCCCATCAGGCGTTTCTTTGGTTTTTTTCTTTATGCTTATAAAGGACTGAGAAGACATTGCCTGTCAGTAACTCAGACACGTCACCTCAAAACAGCTTTACATGAGAGCAGAGAGAGGCGCAATGAATGATGGCACTGTGATTCTTTGGATATCATCCCAGAGATCTGCACTGCTTGTCACACCCACACAGCACATAAATACCATAAGCACTGTTGGACAGCACAGCTCATTATTCCTTTTCCTCCCCACATAAAAGGTTTCTCTTGCCCCTGGCCATACGAGCCATGGACACCTTATGCACCCTCCCCGCACTCCCATAACGCTTCATCTAAAATGTAGGAAACGCAGGCTCTAAGCAAAAAAACCTGCACATACACTCAGCTGTGCTGGTGAAGAGCAAAGCATCAGACACAAGAACAATTACACAAATTGAGTCGGTCTAACACAAAGCTACTTATGTACACAATCCAACGCTCACTGACACTGGCCAAAGGTTTGCTCCAAAAAGCCTACCGAGTTCCACCAATCCTGGCAAGGATCCTGCTGTGAATGTTACAAGGAATAAATACACTGTGATCTCCACGGGATGCAGAGTCAAAGCCGACCAAAGTCAACCAGCAGCCAGTGAGGCATGTTGGAGCATTACAGAGATACGAAAACGTTCAGAGGTACTAAAATTCCTTTTTATTCCCTAGCTGTTTTCCTACGGCTAAATCAACTACTTATATCTTCATCAAGCGTGCACTTCAGTGAAGTGAGAAAGCCGAGAAACAGGCCACGTTTAGGCGAAGTCGCACACTCCTCAAGGATTCCATCAGGTGAAAACGTTTTCACGCCTGGGTCCCCTTACCTGTATGGGCTACTTTAAAAAGCTGTAGCAGCTCTCAGGGCATCATGCCTGGCTTTGAAAACCCCCCAGGAGGAATGCAGCGGTGCAGCGCCGGCCGTCAGGGACCGATGCTCAGGCAACGAGGCTGAGCAGACGATGCCGAGGGAAGGAGGGCGAGGGAAGGATTCCGAGGGAAGGATGCCGGCTGCCTTCCGAGCGCGAACGCCGACCCCCACACGCCGAGGGGAAGCACGGACCCTGCCCCTGGCCCTGCCCCCGCCCCGCCGCAGCCGCCGGCCTGCCCCGGGCCGCTCCCGGTCACTTACGCTCCTCGCGTGCGGCGGCCGCGTCCCGCCAGCTCCGGGCTGCGCCAGGCGCGACACCGCGGCCGGTCACGGTCAGGCGTGGGCGCGCTGCGCCGCGCTCGCCCCCAGCCGCGGCACCATGACCGGCGAGCTCGGCCGCTTCAGCCGCCGCCGTGCCCAGGTGTAGCGGGCGAGGAGGGGCGCTGAGGGGGACGCGAGCGGCTCTGCCCAGGCCCGACGCAGCCCGGCCGCAAGGAGGCCCCGCGGCCCGCAGCAGGAAGCGGCAGCGGCGCAGGCGCCGCGGGCGGGGCAGCCCCGCGCAGGCGCCGCTGAGCGGCCGGGCCAGGTCGGGCCGGGTGGGTGCGTGGCTCCCGGGCTTCTCCCGCGGCTCCTCCTGCTCCCGGCGCTTGGCTGCGGCTCGCGGGGCTCCCGGGCGTGCAGCGGCGTCGCGGCCGCCCGTGGGCGGCGGTAGCGGAGCCCGGAAAGACGCGCTGTGGGCTTGGCGGCGGGCGCGGCTGCCCCGGGCGCCCCGGGGCATCCCAGCCCGGCCTGGCGGGTTCAGGACGGCCCCTCCGTCCCCCAGCTCGCAGGAGACGCACAGAGAAATAAAATGCTCGGTAACACGCACTGACGGTGTCCATAGGCGAGGCGTCGGCATAGAGCAGTGCTAAGCATGGAGGGAGAAGAGGAGGGAGAGGAGGAGGAAGACTATATGTCCGATTTATTTATTAAGTAGGTAGTTCTTTCTCTCTTTTTTTTTTTTTCCCCACCCTTCTTAAGTGATTGTAAACGTGTTTGAAAAAAACACGTTAATATTTACTGGAGTTACTAACTCACAGACAGGATGTCAGGCCAGGCTTGCCCATGGTGAGGCGGGTGAAGGAAGCTATTCAGAAAGAAGAAAAGCAAAAAGAAGCCAATGAGAAGAACAGACAAAAAAGCATAAAAGAAGAAGAAAAAGAGAGACGTGACTTGGTACTGAAAAGTGCATTGGGCAGTGAGAACAAAGGCTTTGCTTTGCTCCAGAAGATGGGCTACAAGAGCGGCCAGGCCCTTGGCAAAAGTGGTAAGTTTGTTGCTCTCTGGAAGTGTGTGTCAGTATTCAGTTATACCTTAATATTTTACAGGCTGCAGCTCTCACTTCATTTGTTGTGCCTCTTGGAGAGCATTATAGCATTGCAGAACTGTGAAGGTGATGTGACAGAACAAAATATGACGCCAAATCCCTAAAACTGAAGTAAAAATAGTACAGAGTATTGAGGGATGCAATGGAAGCGCAGCACTTGCAGCTCAGTAAGTGCACTTGCATACATGCATACCTACAGGAATTGCATTAAGGATGTTCTGATGGTTTTGCAAAGCTAATAGTGTTAAAAAAAAAATCAGATCCTCTTGAAATTTATAGTTGGATTTTGAAAAAGAAACAGTGCACACTGGCCTACCCTTACGAAACCTTAATAGATGAAGAAAAATCAGTAAAACAAGGAATCAATAACTGCTGTGCCAGTTCAGCATCTCTGGCAAACAATCACAATAAACTAGCCCAGACAAATTCTTTTTATTCTTCACCACTGCTATGACATTGCAGAATGAAAAGGCTCCAGAAGGCAATAACAAAGCAGTCTTCATCACAGGCATCTTACATCTGTCATGTCAACACCTTTTCTTTCACAAAAAAAGAAAGGATATAGGATATAGGACATAGGATTCCAGCAGACAAGCCAAAAAAGAGAGCGAGTTTCCAGTACAGCTATGTCATTTGTAGTGCACTAAATGTATACTGATTGGGAAGTTTTCAACTTCCAAGCAAAAAAAATCACAATAATGGCAAAAGCAGCTTGCCTGCTTGAATACACTGCACAAATCATTGTGTGAGAATAACTCAGGTTTCTAAATTGACTTTTTTTTTTTTCTCTCACAGGAGAAGGCATTGTTGAACCTATTCCTCTGAACATAAAAGCAGGTTTGTAGTGCTTTCTGATTTATTTAGTTGGTTATCAGAGCTTTCTCAACTGCTTACATTAATGTTTTGAACTTACATAGGTAGAAGTGGGCTTGGTCATGAGGAATTAAAAAAGCGAAAAGCTGAAGAAAAACTGGAAAACTATAGACAAAAACTCCATATGAAAAAACAAGCAAATGAACAAGCTGCGGATCAGTTCAGGTAAAGTCAGACAACTGATATTCCAAGGAATGTCGAAATAGCAATTGTTTTTATGCTTGATATTTGGTTATTCTTTTCATGTGCTAGTATAATGTTTTGAATGAAGGGTGAGAGTTACCATACAGAGTAATTGTTTCTCAGTTCTAAAGCAAAAGTAGATGAATACTGTAATGCTAAAAGCATGTGCTGCACCCTTTAGTTTTGTAATTGTTAATAATGCAAACTATACATACTAACTTTTCTCAAGTCATATGCGGCTTTTTTAATTGGAGAAACATATTTTGAAATCTAAAATCCACAGATATTTCTAAACACTATTGGTACAATGGTTTTAAAAGTCAGGGTACATTTTTCAAGTTTGTATTGTTTTGGCTTTCTTCTGATTTGCTTGTAATATATGGAGAAGAGAAGCTGAGGAAAGGCTGTAGCTTTTGCAGATGTTTAGTGAACCACTATTTTATGTCAGGAAAATCTAATGAAGAAACAGTGTAGTGTGGTCAAAAAAGGTATCTTGAAGGTATAATTCTCAAGAAATACAAGTGTGCTCCCACAGAAATAATGTCAGAATGACTTCTTAACTTCAATGTTGTTCAGGTCTGAGAAAATTAGTAGGAATAGAATCTTAGATTTTCGAGTTTTGTAAAGCTGTGGACTGTAACGCATCTGTCACTGTGTGTCTGCCTGCTTATTTACCTCTGCATGTTCTTAACAGAATAAGATTCAAAACCAAACAAGAAGAACGTAAGATGGAAGGGGACCTGCGAAAAAGCCAGAGGGCCTGCCAGCAATTAGATGCGCAAAAAGTGAGACCTGGGGGATTTTCTGGAGGGTTAGAAAGAAGACTTAAGAGGTTAGAGATACAGGCTGCAATGTAATGGTTCAGTTCTTGGAAGTTCTCTAAAATTTTGGGGTAACTAGCTTAAGTCTTGATGTTTGACAACACTTCAGTCCTCTTAAAAAATTTCAAAGTCTGTGTTTGTGCCATTAATATAGTTGAAGATGCACAACAACCTCATGGTAACTTACATGAAGACATGTGGTTTTGCTTCTGCATTCTTGTGGTTATTTCTGAGCTGTTCGCATATCTTCCAGTAGCCAGTATCAGGCCATCCTATATAATGGTGCTGTTTGCTTCAAGTGAGGGAGCAACATCATCACACAGTGATTCACATTGGGAATGGACTCTGGAAACCATTGTGTTCGGTCTTTGTCCTCAAGCAGAGTCACTTAAAAGTAGGTTCTCGAGGACCAGGCAGATCTTTAGTATCTCCAAGAATGGGGATCATCATTGAGGGAATCAGCAGATTCACCAAAGCAACATTGAAAAACACAAACTAAAAAAAAAAAACCCACAAAACTAAGTGCCTTCCACTTGCAAGGAGTAACGTTGGTAATAGCAGTGAGCTACTATGAATTTTTACCACTGGAAAACTTCTGCCGAGATTGTTCAATATTACTTAGTTTGCTTCAAATCAAGTCAGCTGAATTAAGCTTACATCATCCTTGTTTACTTTTCTTCCTTTATTTTCACCTGAGGTGAATTAGGAAGCACTGTGTAATCTATTAATAAAATAACTTGGGTCATGTCTTACTGATAAACAAGGGTATCTGCTCACAGGCTTGGTGTGAGATTATGTTGCTGTGTAGCCTTGCACGTACCAAATATAGATGAAATAAAAGTAGGTGTTAACATTGGCATGCATTCCGTTGTTTAAAAAAAGTGATAAAAGTTGACTGCTGTACTTACCTATAGCTTTAGTAATTCTTGGTTATACTATACATGCAAGTTCTAAAGGCTAAAAGCTCACTTCCTAGAAATTAGTTTTATCCAGCATCTTACAAGAAAACTTAAAAAGACAGATAACTTCCATTTAAATCCCTTGTTACTTAAGGATATTGATATGCCTAAGGAGGCTTGGTTTTGGATAGAACCTGAAGAGGAAGACAAAAAGGATGAGGAAGACAAGGAAGATGAATGCACAAGCGCAGACTTAAGTGTAAGTGTAAGCTCTTCAACTGAATTAATTGCTCAATTCAAAATTAAATTTAATATTCCTTGAAACAGTATATATATATATACATATATGCATAAAGGATATATATATACACACATATGTTTCCCACACTGTAGTAAAGGGCCTCTTTGCAATCCTAGAGCAGTGTCTTTTATAGTCATTACAAGATAAAATATTAAATATTAAACCACTGATTTATTGCTCATCTGTTTTGAGGCTGATCTTTGAAAAAATCAGCCTAGAAATTAAATTTTAAACATTTTTGTTCCTTAGCCAAGATACGTGAGATCAGTTACTTGCTTTTCAGTTTTAATTGTGCTTGATGTTTAGAGTCACTAATTTCTGAAAATGCTTCACAGATTATCTCAAGATGGACACTGGAAATACATATTTAAGAACTAGATTACATTGCTGTTGTTAGCCTTATGTGTTTGATTGGCAGATATTAGGTGTGAAAAAAAACCACAGAAAATACCATATACATGAAATCAGGTGGCTAAGTAATATTTTTAGCTCTCTTCAGTGCAGGTTTCTTAGCTGGAAAGAAGGATAAGCAAACAACAGCCATTAACTTTCAGAGATCATAATTCCTGTGCACTCTTCTAGAAATGTGGGAAACTTCACGTCTTGCGGAGCTACAGTGTTGTGTAGCTTTTCCATAGCATTAGGTTAAACACTTAATTTTAGCAAACCAGCAGCTCAATGTGGTTTATGTCATGTGAGGCCCAAGTCATCACATACCTGTACATATCTCTAGGTATCAGAAAAGCTACACATCCTGACAGCCTATTTGAGAGAGGAGCACTTCTATTGCATTTGGTGTGGAACAACCTATGAAGGTGAGAGTGAACCATTTTGTAGGTGCTTTACTTTGCTTATGCAGCTAGACTCCAGCTGTAGAATATATCCTTGGTTTTTCTCTTTCTGCAGCTTCCAAATCTACATAGCTAATTTACTTTCTAGGCTGCTGATTTTTGCACAAAGCTTTGTACATATTGTTATTGTGATTGTTAGCCAATTTTTAGGTTTATATGCAGAAAAACCAAAAGCAAACAAACAAAAAAAACCCCACACAACAAAACACAACAAATGATACTGAAATTTCTTTGAATTTATATTAAAATTTAATTCGTTTTGAGAAAATACAATTCAGATATTAAAACCAATACCATAAAAATCTGCAAAAGCTGGTAGGTGTTTCTGAAACAATTAGAACACCATCCAGTTCCACAACACCAAAGAAAGTAGAATTTGTGTTTGCTGTTTTAAAACAAATTTGAAAGTTACTAACTTGTAAACCTTGAATTCTATTTAATCTGTTCTACATGGATTCTAGAAATATTTCCAGCAACCATTTTTTCCTTCGCTGAGCTGCATCTACTCACTTTTTTCCTGCTTTTCTTGTAGACTCTGAAGATTTATCTTCAAACTGTCCTGGAGACAGTGCTGCAGATCACGACTAAAGCCAGTCTAAATGAAGAAGCCCTAGATAAGTATGTATAATTCATAGTATCTTTTAGAAGGCTTGGAGCTGTGCCATACTCAAGAATTCATACCAAAGTATGCAGAAGAACAGTTTAAGTTGACAAGCTAAATTCATATTTTCTGTTTGATGCACAATTTAATAGGAATTAAAACTCGGTCTTTGTAATTGAACTAACATAATTGAGAGGTTAGTTGAGTCTTTCACATCTTTACCTGCTGCCCAAATGGTAATAAAATTCAAGTATGAGTAAAGGCATAAATATTGGCCAATCACTTTATTGTATAACGTGTAAAACTGGGTTTTTTCATCTTTACAGAGATGTCTAAATACCAGAGTGGTTTTGCTTACTATCTTAAATTTGGTGGGTAAAAAAAAAGCTTGTGAAACATGACAGTGACATTACTTGAACCAATAATCTGTTGTATATAAACGTGCATATTTTCCATAATTAAATAGAATTAGATCATGATGGTGGGTTTTCACTTTTTACATAAAGATATATTTTAATAGACCTTTTGTTTTTTGTTAACAGCAGTTGCTACTATAACTAGCCATTTATAAAAAGTTGATGCTGAAGTATAGAAATACTATGCAGAGAAAATATATCACAAACTACTTGTACAAACTCAGTATTACTTAACAGCAACAAGGTAATGATACTACTTTGCTCTGTCCGAAAACTGTAAAGGAAATGCAACGAAGATATTGTCACTTATCCATTTTCATATTATGAATAGTTTCATAGAATTGTTTAGGTTGGAACAGACCTCTTAAGATCATCAAGTCCCAACTATATGTTAATTTTATCCCAATAGATTAAAGAGAAAGCAGAAATAGTAGTATTTTGTCTGTAAGGATATATAATTTCTCACAGATCTTGACTGCTGCAAAAAAAATACTCATTAGTCTAGCATAGTGAAATACTTTATGAATTCCAGTCAAGGATAAGGTTAGGAGAGCATAAAACCCTGGTGGAATTCAATCTGGCTAGGGATGTCAAGGAGAAGATCAGATTCAAGAAAATCTAGAGAACCTAGAAGTGCACAACTCCATGGGACCTGCATGTTGACATGCATCCACTGGTCCCTAGGGAACTGGCAAGTGAAGTTGCTTGAGTTGGAGTTGTTCATTCTGGAAAAGAGAAGGCTCCATGGAGACCTTAGAGCAACCTTTCAGTACCTAAAGGGGGCTGCCAAGAGAACTGGAAGGGGACTTTTTCTAAGGGCATGTAGTGACAGGACAAGGGGAATGGCTTAGAAAGGTTGAGATAAGATAGTAGGAAGAATTCTTTATTGTGAAGGTGATGAAGCACTGAACAGGTTTCGTAGAGAAGCTGTACCCCATCGCTGACAGTGTTCAAAGCCAGGCTGAACAAGATCTTGAGCTATGTGATCTACTGAGAAGATCCCTGGCCCAGGGCAGGGGGATTGAAACTTGATGATCTTTAAGGTCCCTTCCAACCCAAACCATTCTATGATTTTATGTATGTAATTCATGATAAAGAGAAAAAAAGAAAGCAGTGTAAGGCCTTACAAAAGTACATACAATCACATTCTTATTTAGCAACAAATACTTGCACCAGAACATCAGTAATTTTCCTAAGAATATAAATATCTTCATTTGTATTAATTCTTTTAGAGCAGTCACCCACTTTTAACCCATTTAACATTTCAGAGAAAGCATACAGTAGTTCACATATTACCTATTTTTCTGCTTAGAAATCTCTGCTCATTTGCTCTTCTGGAGTTATGTTGACCCCACATCAATGAACAGTTTGACAAGATAGAGCTCAAAGACAAGCCCCTGAAGGTCCAATGTGCCTGTTTTTTCACCCTGCTGCCCCACACCACACAGAGTATTTCAAGTTCAGGCAAGGCTGAACTCTGAAGGATACAACTGAAAAGCAGCAGAGAACCTGTTGTTCCCTTCTGTGGGGCTAGCAGTGGGCACATCAGACGTACTAAGTACAGTTATTAAGGGTTAGGCATGCCTCAGTATTACAATAAGGGACTAAAACCTAGAAGCATGGGAATGTTTAAAGTGCTCTCTTGGCCTAGGATTTCAAATGGTTACTACTGAGGCAATTGGAGAATTTTCCTGTATTAATAGCACCTTGAATGTTCCTTTCCAAAAAAGACAACCATACAAATCTAAATTTTTAAAAAAATTGAGATTTGTTCTAAATTTGATTTCCTAGAAGCTAAGTGTTTAACATTTAAATTCTTAAGAAATCCTCATTTTACAAGTTTAAATTCTAGAGCACTGAAGCTGCTAGGTCAGCAGCAGCTGTGAAGAGATAAGAAAACTTAAAAGTACTTTAAAGTACTTAAAGTGAAGAATAATGTGCACCTATTCCTAGAATCTTTTCTGCCAGAACTAGCCTTGGTACTAATGGGAGCATTGCAGTAATTACTAACAATATCACTGAACAAATCAGAAAGGTTTGAGTTGCATACCACCAGACAACAGTTCTTCCATGGAAAGCAATAGATAGTAAGGAATAATGGATGCAACACATGCAGGGATTTGCCACAACCCAGTTAGCAGTTCAGCACATCAACATGATCTTTGAAGGGAAAAGGACCAGGTTCTTATTGTACAAAGCAGTCCAGCTCACCCATAACCTATGTTTCTAGGTAAAAATTGCATGTGATTTCTTGCAGAAGTGCCCTGTCTTGCAGCTGGCAGACATGAATGCTGATGTGGCCAAGGAAAAGACACACCCCAAGTCTTGTTTCTAACATCTGCTGTCATTTCATCGACTGTAATAAATTCATCAAACTCTGGATTTAAACACAGTGCAAAAGGACATTTAATAAGAATAATTTCTAAGTTCCTTCTCTTTATCAACAGACTTAAGAAGGTCAAGTAAATGAGATATAGTGATTCTTGCTGAAGGGTCCGTTGAAAGCATCTTTTTGATTATGGGTGCCTGCAAAAAAAATTAAATGTCAATAGATTTTTTTTTTAAGTTAGTACAGTACTCAAAAAGTATATTAAAATGTCATACCTCTATTGAAAAATGGTTGTTGAAGCACTCTGGAAGGTCACCTTTTCTCACAGAAGGCCATATCTGAAATTAATAAAAGAGAATACTTCTGGTATGCTTTCATTTGTTATGTTTTGTATCTCCACCTTATGACCCATATAGTTTACTGAAGTAGTTAGGAAAACACAAATCTGCAGGAAATGTAAGGCTTCAAACAGTAACTGCAAACAGTTTGAAAGTTGGGGCTTTTTTCATTTAGTTGTGCTTTGGTTTAGTTTTATGGCCTTTTCATCAATGTTGTCCAATTCTAACCTTAAAAACTTCACACACAAGAATGACATGTTTGCTTCAATCATCCTCTATTTCAGAACCATTATCTTTCTTTCCTTAATTTAAAAGTAATGGATTTATATCGTCTAATGACATTATAAGAAAAGAAAAAAGCAAGACAACCGAATTTCTGTTTGCAAGCCAAGTAGGTGTGCTTCCTCTTTTTAATTATATTCAGTACCACACACATATTTCTATGTCATTGCATAAAACGCTATGTGGAGCAACTAACAGAAGATTTGTAATTACATGCTTTAGAAATGGCTTTTGGTTAACAATTTTTTTTCTATCTGACACTGTCTCTCACAACATCCTGATAGGCAAGCTCAGGAAGAGCAGGCTGGACAAATGGCTGGTGCGGTGGACTGAGAACTGGCTGAACAGCAGGTCCTAGAGGGTCACACTCAGCAGCACAGGGTCTAGTTGGAGGCCTGTCACCAGTGCTATTCCTCCTAGCTTCAATACTGAGCCCAATATTGTTTAATTTGTTCTTCAATGACCTGGATGAAGGGGCAGATGCCTCCTCAGCAGGTTCACTGATGACACAAAGTTGGGAGGAGTGGCCGATACCCCAGAGTGCTCCACAGCCCTTGAGAAGGACCTGGACAGGCTGGAGAGATGGGCAGGGAGGAACCTTCTGAAATTCCACAAAAGGAAATGCGGGGTCCTACACCTGGGGAGAAATAACCCTGGGCACCAGCACAGGCTGGGGCTGACCTGCTGGAAAGCAGCTCTGTGGAGAAGGACCTGGGGGTCCTGGTGAGCAACAAGCCATCCATGAGCCAGCAGTGTGTCCTTGTGGCCAAGAAGGCCAATGGAATCCTGGGTGCATTAGGAAGGGCACTGCCAGCAGCTCAAGGGAGGTGATCCTGCCCCTCTGCCCTGCCTGGTGAGGTACATCTGGAGTGCCGAGTCCAGTCCTGGGCTCCTCAGGACAAGAGAGACATGGAGCCCCTGGAGTGGCTCCAGTGGAGGGAAACAAAGATGATTGAGGCCCTGGAGCATCTCTCTGATGAGGAAAGGCTGAGGGAGCTGGGCCTGTTCAGCCTCGAGCAGAGGCACTGAGAGGGGAACTCATCGATGTCTGTGAGTATCTGAAGGGAGGTGCCAGGAGGATGGAGCTGAGCTCTGCTTGGTGGTGTCCATTCTGTCAATGGGCAGAAACTGATGCACAGGAAGTTCCACCTGAACATGAGGAAGAATTTCTTTACTGTGTGGGTGACTGAGCACTGGAACAGATTGACCAGAGAGGTCAGGGAATCTCCCTGACTGGACATATACTGGACACAAGTCCAAATAACATGCTCTAGGGAACCCTGCTTGAGGAGGTAGGTTGGACTAGATGACCTCCAGAAGCTCCTTCCAACTTCACCCATTCATGTGATCATTCTGTGATTCTGCAAGTGGCTTTCTGGGTAAACAGATCAGTCTGCTTAATTCATTAGCTGCTAACTAGTGTAATGTCTGCCTAAAGATGACAGTCATGTTCTTGGACTTAGCTGTTTTTCCTGAAACATCAGCTATTCCTATAAACCTGGCATAGCCAGCCCTTTACAAGCACTATCCAGTAAAACAACAGCTCCCAAAAACTTAAAGGGTTTTTTTCCCTACTCTTTTGTAGTAACCCTACCTGCTGGGGATCATCAGCTGAACCAGTTATTCAGCACAGAATAATCAACTTTGCATTTACACGATGTTCTTACAGCAGGGCTTGCCAGCACTAGAGTTTATCATCTTCCATTAAGTGAAATTCTTTCTAATCTAATGGAGCAGCTAAAGACCATCCTAGGACTTTCCATCCACATAACTTCCCCACCTGCCTGCAGAGCACAAAATTATAGTTTAAGGAAATCATGCTTTTCCAACTGTAAACACCATGGAACTGTGCATGCATTTGCAGTCAACTGTGAACCGGAACAGGTGGTCTGAGGAAGTACTGCAAGGTGGCTGGAGAGAGCCAAGTTGAACAGACGCACTGGTATGATCTTTTCACTGGCAAAAGGATCTGATTAACAGTGTTCAAAATCTGAGTGCCACTACAAGAACTTCAGACAAAATACCCAGCAGCTACCTCACTGCCCTAACAAAATGTAGGTTTGCATATAAAAAGCTAAAAACACATACAGGATAACTTTTTTTAAAAGCTTAAGTAACATGGGGTTTCTTTCTAAAATAATATCTGTTTCATTAAAGCAACGTGTTCCAAATCACTTTTGTTTTCATCTTGGAAAACTGCAAGGGTTTTGATTTGGTGGAAACTCTTCTTGCTCCACTGTGCAGTGAAGACAAGAGCATGGCAGAGACAAAACTCACCCGTCCATAATTTTTATTTTCTAAAATTAGAAAAATACTCCCTTTAAGTTTCTGATCAAAGGAAAAGACTTGTAAGAAACTTGACATCCTTTTTTGCTTGACATTATTCTTTAGCATGCTCAGACTTTAGTGTATGTGTAGTAGGACAGAATGAAATAAACTTTAGTATTTCTTTCCCTCAGTTACAACATATCAACTGAGGTGTGAGGACTTACAGGCTTTATGGAAATTAATTAAGGAAAAAAATGTAAATAGAGATAGTACTCAAGATAAAGAGATTCTTTCTAGAACACTATCAATATGTGATACCAGCAGGCAAAATAACAACAGTGGGAGTTTTTAAATTTAAAGTTTTTAAATTTTAAATTTAAAGATTACATACCTCAGATTTTTCATGATGAGTGATTGCCGAAAGAATTTCAAACCAAATTAATCCCAATGCATAAATATCTACTTCCTTTCCATATCTGACCCCACTCTAGAAAGATGAGAACAGAACAATACAAGCATCAAATCCAACTGGAGAACAGCACTTCTTAAAGCAAAATTTGAAGTCAGCAGAAGCTTCCACTCCAAGGCTACAGGACTGGCCCCAATCAGTATCGTTCTTAGTTGTTAACCCTTTCTGCCTCAGACCTGTTAAATAGTGACTATAATGTCACACTGAACACCCTGAAATTAACACTTCTACAGACCTATACAGATAAAGCCAATACTGCCCTGTGACAAATAATGAAACAAACAGAGAAACTCAAATGATGCAATTAGCAGGGGCCCTAAATTCAAATATATATCTGGCAGTCTGGTTTTACAAGAGCATTCCTTACAGCATGCAATGTCAAACTGTATGTTCACACAGAGCAAAAAACTTTACCACACTTGTGGTAAAGCCTTCTCCAGAGTACAGTTATCCTCTCATACAGTCACCCCAGGAACTTTAGGCAACCTGCTTTAATAGTGAAATTAGGATTGAGAACATCCAATGCTCAGTTTATAGCGCACATCTAATTACAGAGACACTAATACAGCAGGATAATTACCTGTTCTGGTGCCATATACGATTTTGTTCCTCTGTTCTCAGTCAGAGTCTCAAATGCCACAGAAGTCACAAGACCGAAGTCACCTATTTTTATTTTATTATGTGATATGAATATATTCTGAGGCTATTTTTGTATATATAAATAAAAAGAAGAAAAAAAAAATCACCAAATGACCAAGGCTTATCATCAAGCATAATCAGCCACAGAAGTGTTTCCCATAAAATCTGATGATTGTCTAGAAAGTAGCATTAAGAAACTGATGGTGTGGAAAGAGGAATAAATTAAATCAGTTTTTTCAAGTAGTACATTCTGCAGTAACAGGACCCGTTTTCCACTAGCTCAGTCATAACTGTGTCATGCTTTAATTGCTCTTCAAATACATTGTACATATAACATTCTATATCCCAAAGTGCTTTTCACTCTTCAATCCTAGCCAGATCTTGATACACTAAGGCAAAGCATTTAGTCTTACATGAAATTCCACTCAAGTCAGAGTTTCTCCTAGGCACAGAAGGATCATGTGTACTAAATCAAATGCAGAGTTAAGGCTTACTGCAGGTATCTCAGAGTATCATGTTTACATTTCCATTAAAGTTCCCCTTTTTAAATTTGACAGTGTCATGGCTTAAGGCCAGTTGGCAACTAAGCACCATGCAGTGGAATGGGAGGGAGAATCAAAAGTAAACTTGTAAGCTGTATTAAAAAGAGTTTAATAATTGAAACAAAAGAAAAAATTAATAATAATGCTAAATAATAATGATGATAAAAGGATTAAAAAAAAACCAAAACAAGGAGAAACAAGTTTTGCACAGTACAATTGCTCCCCACCCACTGACTGATGCCAGATCCCCTTCCTGAGCCCAGATTAGCCCCTCTTCCATGTAAAAAAAAGTCTTTGACTTCAAGTAAACACTACCTAGTAGCAACCAAAACATCAGTGTGTTATCAGAATTATTATAATACTGAAGCCAAAACAACACTGTACCAGTACTGCAAATAAATTAACTGTATCCTAGCCAAAACCAGAACACAAAGTCAAACAACTAAAAATAGAACTATATATGCTTCAATGAAGTTTCCCAAAGAAGATAAATAAACTATACTTCTGAATGTTTTTAAAACAAAACCAAAGAGCCTCATGCTGCCTTTTACTCAAAGAAGCACCAGTGGATCACAAGGCCAGGAGATACTTAATAGTCAACAGGAAAAGATCTTCATGTAAAGAATGCTGTTCTCTTCAAGTCTGACCATGATCACACATATTTAATATAGTACCTATAGCTGGCTACACTATTTAATGACTCTGTTCCTACCAGACACAAATTATTTTAATCTCATCTTGAACCTATCCTGCAACTTTGATTCTGGGCTATGGAGATCTCAGATGGCCACCTAAGCTGACAGCAGATCAAAGAGGAGAGGAAAGGTCCTCAATTCAAACACAGATAGAAGAGTTAGCAGTATAACTTGGTTCTGGTCAGGAGAGGGTTAATTTGTACAGTAATCCATGGGGAATACATGGCTAGGACAAGGAGGTTATTCTATACCACCTGATGTCATTTTCTGGGAATCGGGAAAGAATCACTTCTGGGTCATGGGAGCATGGCATGATCAGGTAGGGCTCCACAGTGAACTTTTGGCATGTGAATCACCCTCTGTTTTTAGACTTCCGGTTTTAATGTTGTTACTGGTTTTGTCTGTGTTTGTTTTCTTATCTCACTGTTGTTTCCAGTAAATTGTTGTTATCTCAACCTGTGCTCTTTACCTTTTGTGTCTCCAATTCTCATCTCCAGCCTGCCACAGGGGAGGGGGAAATGAGCGAGCAGCATGTGGATTCAGTACGAGCATTAAATTGAAGAATACCACTCCTGATCGACCACAGCCTCATTCCTACCTCAGTTTATAGAGCATGAGACTTCTAATCTCAGGGTCAAGGGTTTGAACCCCATGTTAAGCATCAAATATGGCTGGGGTGTGTAGGGGATCAAGTGAGGCACTTGTGGGTTCACTGCAGCTGCCTGCTGTGAAAAGACTTCAGTCCCAGCTGTGAAGGTCTCTGGTGGTGAGAATTTGACTACCAGAGTGGCTCCAGAGTGGTCAGGCAGGGAAGTTAATCCTAGGAATGCCACCACACTAATGATTTTTTTCACTAAGTGAGTGATTTAAAACTCTATAAGCAACATTACAGCTTCCATCCTGAAGCTGTGAAGGTTTTGTCCCTTAGAATCTTTATACTGAAATAAAATCTTCTTATGACTGTGCACATCTAGAGACAAAGTCTATCCAAAACTGTACCATGCAAACATTCATATGCATATACAAGACAAAAGTAACTAGAGCATGTTGTTATCAAACACAGCATGTATTAGGATAGATAACCTATCCCTTTACAATATGGGAGAGCCACTTTCTAGACTCAACTTTTCTTTTCCAATAGGCAGACTTGTAAACCCAGTAACACACTGAAAATGCCTGTTAGCTGATGCCTACTGACTCTTTGAACTATTGTATTCTGAGATCTTCCAAGTTCACCTGATCTTAGGATGAGGTTCAGCCAGCTGCTGAAAGAGAATCAATCATTACCAATATCCAAAGAAGCACACTGCTAGGGTACATAACAGAGTAAGCAAAGACTATAACAACTTAACATTCTCTGAAATTCCAGTAAGTATACTACCTTCAACTTTTTCTTTTTGATATTTTTTTCTTTATTTACCTATCCTACATACCTTGAGGTCTCGATGAATTAACTTTTCAGAATGAATATATTCCACTCCTTTCACTATTTGTAAAAATCTCTTTTGTGCCATTTCATAATACTTTCGGTCTTTGCTAGGTTTTGCAATCCAGTTTTCCAATGTCCCTTGTTCGCAGAATTCCATTTGGATGAAAAGACAGAGAATTTTTTTGCCTGAATTCTGGCTTCAAAAGAAAATTATATACCATATTGAAATTGGCAAGATATAATTCCTCCCAAGTCATCTTCAAAAGCCCTTTTTGCTAATAATTATTTTTAGAGTTACCCAAAACAAAGTCTGCAAGTCCCTTAATTTTAAGAAAGATCCTAGAGCAATTTGTATTAAATAAAAAGGACTGCAACCCAAAGAATCCCTGCTCAGTTGCTATATATTCCTGTAATATTTCTGAAGTTTTGCTTGTTTTCTAGTTTCACACTGGTAGTTTTCTGAAAGCCCCAGTTCCATGTCCCTCATACCTAGAAGCATGTCTGGCCTTGTAGGAACTGGTGCAAGACCCTGACACGTGTTCTCTATTCTGCTCAAGAGATAGAGCATCAGCCTTCCTATCCTGCCCAGAATGGTCATGTTCATTCCAGCTGTCTCCTGTCAAGAAGGTAATCCAGTGACTATTTCTGATATTGGTCTGCTAGTCACAGAAACCCTTCTGAGAACTGGAAACCTAGATGAAACATATTCACCCATCTGGCAGCCTCACACATTCCAGAGAAGCTCGTAAGATAGGCTGAGGCTGGAGATGGTGAGGGGAAGGAAAATACAGAGAGAAGCATGCACTGTTTTTTCCTATGTACACTGTCTGATAAGTGCCCTTGAATAAAGCTGCTTGAAGCACTGAAAGAACAAGCATTAAATGGCTCAGGACTCTGTAGTCTTGAGGTCAGGGCACAAATTTCAGTCTGGGACCTTGGCTTTGAGGACTTTTTTTTCCTTTGCCCAATAACTGTTCAATGTCAAATAGGTTGCAACATATTAATGAGGTTCCAACATATTAATGATTCAGTTTTGACAGACTGTTTTCCCACATTTTAGTGCTCTAAGTATGACAGTCTATCTGAAGAGTATTAATTCACAGCTAGTAACAAAGTTTACCACAGAAGCTTGGAAAAGTTAATAGTCTAACTGACAAGTAAAACTCTCACCACTGTTTTACTAGAAGTCTCAGTGTTAAAAGGCTACCTCTAAATTAAAGAGCATTTTCATTTTGTATTCCTTTCCTAAACAATTAAAACTGCTTCAGGCATCATGGTTAAAATACTAACTTAGGGAAATAATTAAATCTATGACAGCTATTGGCTGACCAGTATTTATTATAAAAAGGAAACTTCTGATCAGGAATTTGGTGGCCAACTGTCAGACAATTTTTTCTGTTGTTAATTCTTGTCCCAAATTTTGAGTTCTACATTCTTACTCTCCTCTATAAATTCATTAAATTACATATATTGAGAGAGAAGTGAAATATAAAATTATATAATGTATCTATTAATCAAGGAAAAGAAGATATAAATATACTTAATGACATACAACCTGCTGCTGGAAAGTACTGTGTCTTTTCTCTTCGCAGTACAATTGCACGTATGTGCATTTGTATTTGTGAAATAATTGACAATCAATTACCAATAGTATGAAACTCACTACGTGAAAAAATGATTGTGAATGCAAACTATTATTTTGTAGTTACCTTGAGTCTGAGTACTTCATATGGTCTTCCCCTTTCCAGCTGCAATGATAGCGCACTATGTTCTCATGTGTAAGTCTTGCCAGTCCTTGTGCTTCACGCTCTACTTTCCTATCAGGAGGGGGGAAAGAATTAAAAAGAAAGGTATTTCCCTATTACAAGGTAATAAAAGTTAAATAAAAGATATGCTATCAAGTGGAAGGATACAGATAGTTTTACATTAATTTAGAAACAAAGCATAATATTCTCCTTCATTTCATATAAGTTCAAAGGTCAAAACTGAAGTTACAAATCTGATGGGTTTTTTTCATTTGCTGAGTTATTCAAAGTGCAAAAAATGTTTTAACCCCATCAGGAATTAAATCCCCACTCAAAAAAAGCTGAAAAAGCAGGTAGCTTTTTCAACCACCAGCAGAGCACCAGTTATTACTTGAAGAATCAGTAGAAGGTTTTCAGTATAGTTCTCAGGATAGCAATACAAATGAAAATAATATGTATTTGCAAAGAACACAAGAATCCAAAGGGAAATGTACACATTATCCAATTTAAGGGACAAGTATCTCCAACAATTTAAAACATTTTCAGTATATAACCTAAAAAATTAATTTTTTCAACTGCTAATAAAATACTCCACTAGGTAACACAAAATTACTTCAAAAAGAAAATTAAAATCATCTTTCTCTGAGATTTATGAAAGACAAGTAACACAGCATGAGAGTAATGACTACATGGGTCAGATATAAAGCATTTTCCAGTTAAAAACCACAAAATTTATTACATGGATTTTTTTCTTTTTTCTGTAATTATAGTTATGGAAATTTTCTGCGTAGCCTGTCAGAAGTAACAGGGCTGCTTTCAATGTTTTAATAATCATCAGGTTTTCTTCACACACATTTTGCAATATTAGCAACCAGAGCCCTACTGTGTTCAGGAAAAAGAGAACTTAAAAGACCTACATTTTTATAGCTCCAGCATAAATTAACCCATTACATGAAATAATTAACAAAGGTTCAGGACCACTTTCAGCTTCATTTGGAAATAAAGAAAACAATTTACTAGAAAGGACAGATAATTAATAATGAAAATCACCTAAATGCTTCTAGTATTGCTGAAGAGAGAAAATAAAGTACTAAAATCTTGATTAAGGTTGTCCTAAAACGCAGAAGTAAATATACAGTACATACTTTGTGAATTCAACTCGTTTGATTGCATAGGTTGTCTTATCACATGTTGATATTCCCTTGAAAACATTCCCAAAACCACCTGCACCAATAGGCTCTATTTTTTCAAAAAGTTCGAGAAATCTTTAAAAAAGATTAAAAAAAGAAAACCACACAATTATAACTTAATTTTCTATTCAGGATATAGAAATAATCTTGACAGGTTTAATACATCTACTGCAATATCATTCTATAGTCATCATTTGACCAATCTACAGGTCTAAATCACAGCCTTGGAGATTAAAACAAGGGAAACTGACCCTCCAGGCATGTCAGGTAACTACCCTCACATCTTCACATGAACAGCATTTGGTTCTAAGCTTTAAATACCATCACTTGTCAATTTCCATGCTAGATTTGAAATTTCCACCAAAAAAAAAAAATCTAATGTCAACTTTCTTTGAAAGTTCTTTTCAGAGCAGTATTTTCCCTCCTTCTACCACAAATAAACACATCTAAATTCATACATACTGTTATTGCCTTACAAATATTAAATTAAAAAAAATCCTTCTTACGTTTTATTGACAGTGTGTGGACTCCCGTTCTCTTCTCCGGTATTTGTGTTCACATCTGGCAAATTTGCATTTGGGTCTGGCATATTTTTTTCCTCTTCCTTGTTTCTTATATTAGCAAAATTAGCTGCCAATTTTCTTTAACAAGGATAAAAGCAAAATTTATAATGAGCCATTTTTCTAACACAAGATGAGAAAAGAAATATACCTCTCAATAGCAGCATTTCTTTACTAGAGATAGAAAAAGTAAAGTTATTTGCAATAGTTTAGAGGAGATAGCAATCTAGAAATAAACACATACCTTCCGGACTTCAGGACATAACTTTGTGCATTTCTCTACATGGAAAAAAAGAAAAAAAAAAAAAAAGCCTGAGGTATCCTGAATATTTTCACTGTAGTTGGTTTAAAATGGTTTAAAACATGTCTGACAACGTATCTAGGAATTGACTATAAATATGATCATACCTTATGTAAACAGTGTCATAAGAATGAATCTTAGCTCAGTGTTTTTCACATATGCTATGCATAACATTATCATTACAAAAATATGCATAACATTATCATTACAAAAAATGAGCTTTGTTTGACCTTTTCTTGAGAGTACTGGCATTTGTTAAACACTACATAAATTTGACCCACAATACAGAAGCAAAATGACTAATGGTTAACACTACTGAATATTCTTAGGAAAAATGCATGTATTTTCCAATGATTAGTGGATAAAAGAACAAACTGATATTACACTCTGACAAGAACCATGCCCTATTCATGCCCTATTCAGGGTCTAAAATATAATTATGAGGAAGACCATTTTCATACTATACCTGAAAAGGTGAAGGCTTTTCATATATTGCCATGTCTTTCATTTTTTCTACCAATTTTGCAGATGAGTCCACAAAGCAAATGCTGTTTGTACTAAAAAAATAATGGGCTAGTTTTAGGTGAAAGTAACACAATAATAAATAAAATTATTGTCACGAGAACAGAAGAAGTACCAAAAAACACACATGACTGATTTAAACTAAAAAAAGTCCTGCTTGAAAGCTATTAAAATAACAACACTTTGTAATATTCTCCTTTATTTCTATTATTAAATGAGTCTAAGATACCTAGAAGATAGAAGAATGTAAAAGTGGTAGTGGCACTACAGTTAAACTGATGGTTCTCAAATCACATATCAAACTTAATGTATGCTCAGTTTCTTTTGCTAAGCAGATTTTTCTCTTTGGTGGAAAGGAAGATTCATGTAGCATGAAAGAAGAGGGAAGAAAAAAGGGAGAGAAGAAAGCAGAATATGGAGCACAGTACTGAAATTCAATTATACTGAGTTCACAAGAGTGTCACAAGGGGAAAATGAGCATTAAAATGGCATGAAATAATGCTATTGAATGAGGTAGGATAATCCATTTACATCACAGCAAAAATGCCTCTGAAAGAACTACCTATGCCAAAATTGAATAAATCAGAAAGCTCTAAACTTACTGTAAGTTATCCCATACAGACTCACATAAAACTGCACAAGTAGAACAAACTTTGCTCTGAAGTTTAAGGAACAGAAGTTAAAATTAGATGGCTTTAAAACAATAAAATGGTATCTTTTATTTAGAATTAGAGCATATTACCATCTGAGACTACTAAATATGTTGTTACCACATTAACCCAACTTACTCCGAGTCAGACTCAGCTGGCACTTGAGAGGAATTGCTGTATTTGCTAAATGTACAACTGCCATTAGATCTTTCGATTTCCATCTGGAAAGAAAAAGAAAAGCCAAGAATTGTTTAACAAAATCACATAAACAAATTCCTAGTGCAAAAAATGCAGAGCAAGTTGGTAACTGCACTAAACATTCAAAGCCCTGCAGAAGAAAAGCATCTGCCCAGTTTCCACACAGAGAAAGGAAAAACACAGGGCCCTGTCACAGTGAGTGTACTATACAGATTCATTTACAAAAGTGGAGTCTGGATTCTATTCAAAACCAAGATAAGAGTTACGAAAAGCAAATATCTTCACTGCTTGCTGCATGTGCAACTGCTGTGTGGAAGATTACATATATGTAGGTTTAGGTATGTGTAATCAGCAGAACCGAAAATATGAGTCAGTATAAATTGATATTCAATGTCTTCAGCATGAAAACACTGCAGGGCTGAATAAAAAAGGCACTTATCCCAAATACTTAGCAGAGGTGCTTCCCCTTCCTCCCACTACCTATGTCATAAGAGCATAAAAGTAACATTAAAAGCAACAACTACAATGGATATAAACCATCACCTCACAAAAAATAACCAAAATTTTTTTTTTTTTTTTTTTTTTTTGTTTGTTTCCTGGTATTCCATCAGAGTATCATGGACACAAAAACACAGGGTTTATGTTTCAGTGAGAGCCAATGAATAAACCCCTTTTTTTAAATACAAGAGTACTGGAGCATTATTACTTTTTGCCAGATTACATTTTGTTTGTTACACAGATATACTGAGAATTAATAAATTTAAAACCAAACTAAAATAACCCACCCCAAATTTAGACTAACTAGTATACAAGTTCTGCTTGATGTAATAAATTTCAGACTTTGATGAAAATTAAAATACCCTCAGGTTTGCAACAAAGGAAAATATTAAGAAAGGCTCCTAGAGCTATAATAGGACATTATTAATGACATGCTGGACTTAAAAATAACTTTAAAAGCACTGAAAATTCACAGTAATAGATAAATATTTTTAAAAGTACTTAAAAGTAACAAAGGCTTCTTTCCTCCCCTATACTGCCATCCTTTCTTTTAAACTACACTCTATTTAGTTAGTTCATATATTCTGTACATTTCAGAAGTGGGTTTGGATCACTATTGGGCGTCTGATAGATTTTTGTACATGTGAAAATATCAGTTGCCAACATGAAGACAACAGCTCTGCTCTCCAGAGGATGGTGTCAGCAATTGTTTCATGGGACTTTGCCTTGGAACACTACAGAAGGCAAGTCCTGCTGATTCTGACTCCTGCTTTTGCCTCTCACATTACACAACAGATTTTTGATCCAACAGAAGACAGTAAAAGAACTATGTTCATAGACTGCCAGCTCAACAACACTGCACACAGAAGACAACTGGTATACAAATTGGAATTGAAAAATTTTTTAAATGTGTGCATCCTTGAATGACAACATCAGACCTATTCTGAAACACAGAGAGATATCAACTGTTAGCATTTATTTTTTTAATCCAAAACTGAATATAGAAGCACAACATAAATTCTACCAATAGCAGCCCAACCAATATACTAAAATATGGATCATTCCCCTCTTTAATGGAATACATGGAATTTGCTTTTAAATACAATGAGTAAATTGGTTCAAATATTTAAACTTCTGTGATAAGGCTAAATATAGCACATACTCTCAGAGATCTTTCTTTTTTTACCTTCTCATATGCTTCCTTTGCAGCAGCTTGTTTTGCAGCAGCTAGGGTAGGTCCAGCGCCCCTTCCATACACATAACCACTAATTGTACAGCTAACAGTATACCTGTAGAATGCAACAGGGAATTGAGTCTTATATGCCATATGACAAGTCTTAATGATTTTTAAACACTACAATCAAGTGACTTTATAGAATGGAAATCTGAAGTATATATCTTCAAGACAGTGTTTTCAATATACATTTAATCTAATTAATAATGGTAGGTAACTAATTTGTTGTGCCTTAAAGATAACTCACTTTCAGAGTGAGCCTGAAACAATCATGGAAAATATTATTCTGGGAGATATTGACTAACACGTGGAGGACAGCACAGTCATTCATCACAGCCAACAGAGCTTGCAGAACAAGGAAATCAGGACCTTCTCTATGAGAGGGTACCCCACCCAGCTGATCTAGGAAAGCAAGATGATACAATCTTTTTAGACCTCAGCAAAGCTTTTGATACCATCTCTCAGCATCCTTCTGGACCAAAGATCTAGCACACAGTTGGATAACCATGCTTACATGATGGGTGAGCAACTGGCTCACAGGTCAGGCACAAAAGGTTACAGTGAATGGGGTGACATCAGACCGGGGACCTGTCACTAGCGGGGCTCTACTGGGCTCCATTCTCCGCCCTGTGCTCTTCAACATCTTAACAACTTATACACAGGACTCTAAGGACACCAAGTAATTTTCCTGACATTTCTAAACTGGAGGAGCTGTTGACTCCCTCAGGGGCAGGAAAGCCCTGCAGAGTAACCAACATACTAAAATTAAGAGATGGGCCATCACCAAGCATGTGAAATTTAACAAGTGCTGAAGTCTGCAGCTGGGATGGGACAACCAAGGCTGTATGTACAGACTTGGGATCAGGAGGCTGGAGAGCAGCACTGCGGAATGGCACCCGTGTGTCCTGGTCACTAGCAAGTTGAACATGACTCAGCAGTGCCCTAGCAGCCACGGGGGGGGAGGGGGGGGGGTTTTGTGTGTGTCCTGGGATTCATCAGGCACAGCATCACCAGCCAGGCAAGGGAGGGGATTGTCCTGCTCTGCTCTGCTCTGCCCTGCTCTGGGGTGGCCTCACCTCAAGTCCTCTGTGCAGTTTTGGGTGCCATACTATAAAAATGACATTAAGCTATTGGGGGGCGTTTAAAGGAGACCAAAAAGATGGTGAAGGGCCTTGAGCAGAAGCCGTATGAGGAGCAGCTGAGGTCACTTGGCCTGTTCAGCCTGGAGGAGACTGAGGGGTGACCTCACTGCAGCTACAACTTCCTCATGAGGGAAGAGGAGGGGCAGACACTGATTTCTCTCTGGTAACCAGTGACAGGATTCAAAGAGAAAGCATGAAGCTGAATCAAGATAAGTTTAGGTCAGATATCAGGAAAAGATTTTTCACCCAGAAGGTGGTTGGGCACTGGAACAGTTTCCCCAAGGAAGTGGTCACAGGCACCAAAGCTGACAGAGCTCCAGAAGCTTCTAGATAATGTTCTCAGGCAGATAATGTGACCCCTTCTAAAGATTCAGCTAACATGACCAAGGATAACTAATGGTAGCATTAGTAAACACAAAAAGTATTAGAAGGAAGTAGGAAGGTAAATTATATCTTACGTGGGCGCATGGTCACCTCCAGTACGATTTCTGTTTGGATAATCAACTAATAGACCCGTCCTTTGAGAAAAATTATTTAATCGGCCAACGTAATTTTCGTCTTGTTCAGGTGATGAGGTCGGTTGACTTGTCGTTAACTCTGCAGCTGCCATATTTGAGGCGCTCCTCTGCTATAAAACAAACAAAACAGGTAACTTGAAAACTTAAGCTTAAAAATACATTCAGATAAACAGTGCACAAGAACTAATATAGCTGCAAGGTTTGTCCACACTTCAAAACACTCTTAAGAAAACCCAAGTTTCCATTAACCGAGTCCTTTGTGGCAAAGGACAGACATCCCAAGCATAACTATTACATTTTAAAGAAACATAAACCTGGCTTTCCAAGCACTACACTTTTGCCTTTAACAACCTCTCACCATGCCTCATCCCACCCCCCCTTTTAGGAAAATACAGGGAACAAGCTGTGAAGAACGGATGGCAGCAGGATGCTGCTGATGCTCCCACATTTGCTGATGCTGCAAATGCTCCTGTGCACGTACAGGAGCAGAAAGCAGGACTTTTCAGCTGTCTCATGACTAGTCAACATCAGTAACGTATCAGCACACATGCAGCAATTGTGTTAAAGTAACGACAGTGACACAATAAAAGCCAAAAAAGGTAAAGAAAGATTTCACTCAAAAGGTGCTAAGAAGCATTCTGAGTCAAAAAGAAAAATAAAGAAAGCAAATAAAGAAGGGTAAAACACTTGGCAGAAAACTAAGGAGCAAAATTCAAACCTAGACTTAATCAAGGAAGGATAGAGTATATAACTAGCTATACTGTAAAGAATATAATGAAAAGGAAAAAAAGATTAATTAGAACAAGTGAAACTAAGCAATTTCATTAGCAGAGTGGCAACAGACACACAGAGTAATACCCTGCAAATGTTTTGAAGACATTGAATCATTGAACAGTAGTCAAGATATAAAAGGACCACTGCTTGCTGTGGTATGTTTTCTTTTAGAGCTCAGGTTTGCCCCCTAATCTCCTCCCCTCCCCAGTTGTCAATCTTCCTGAGCTCTTCCCTAACCTCCTCCCCTCCAAGTTGTCAATCCTCCCTTTCCCTGCCCCTTTCCCTAGGACATTCCCTGTCACTCCTTCTAGTCCCTTCCCTTTCTTCTAGAGTATTCCCTGTCCATTTAGTTACACTCGACACCCTATTTGTTACTTTGTGTTATTCCACTCCCCTATTTCCCGTGATAGGTTTATGATATGTTAGTCCCACCTTAGACCCCTCCCCAGTTTTACCCTCATTGGTTTTTGTTCCTACACCCCTCCTCCTGAGTTTCTGTATAGAACCTTCTGTTTGCCCTCCCAAGCTGGTCTTGGGACTCTGTTTTCTCCACCTAATAAACCCACTGTGGAGCACTCCAAGCCCCGTGTTGTCATTATCTGTCCCTGCGCCGGGCCTGCCGATAACTGGGAATTGCAGAGCTCGCAGGAGGACGCCCCTGCCACAGCCACCCAGCATGCCCTACACGGCACACACTACAACAACTGCTCACTTTGGATACACCAAGGAAGCTTAACAAAGGCAAATACATTTCCTTATCCTCCTATAACAGCAGAGGAGGAAATACAGTATTAGGTATCAACCCTATAGGAAAAAATAAGGAAAACAATTCAGTGATAAAAAGTAGAAAAGTGATGAATAAGACAGAAACAAAAGACACCTTGAATAATTAGAAACTGTTTCAAATTAAACAACATTTTATCAAAAGTCTACTTTCAGATATTCATGTTCAACATTTACTACATTACATACGATGTACACTGCATAATCCTTAATCCTACTATTTACTCACCTGTTCCTCAATCATCTCCCATGTTTCTTTTGCTGCTACTGCTTTTGCTTCTTTTTTACTTTTACCAGTGCCTGTACCATATTTCTGACCATTTATTTTGACAACAACTGTGAACCTGCAATGAAGGAAACTTGTCTAAAACATTGCTACATTTTCCCCACGCATATACTTTAATAATCTTATCAGATTAAACTTTGGGTTTGTTATCTACAAAGCACTATAGGATACACTACAGGAAGTATTGAAGGATTAATGTGTTTTAACTACATCAAACCTATGATTATCATAATTCTTTAGTCTAAATATTTTTTAAATTTTCCTCTCTAGTCAGAAATGCATGTACTTTATTAGTTCCAACAGTACTTTTAACTGCTTAACTGCTTTTTAAAATCAAAATAATTTACTTTTTAAAAGTATAAGAATGAATGAGGTCAGCATCATTACAAGCAAGGTTGTGAAGCCCTAACACTAGGATACATCTCAGCAGTGCAAAACTACACAGAGGAGATTAGCTAATTTTGGTTTCATGAAACCAGATGTGACATTACACTCACCTTTAATACCCTGCGATGTACACTGCTTAATAAGAGCAAAAACCACGCCTGGTGCTTGCAAGACATAAATTTAAAGGCAGTCATAAAAAAAAGCCCCACCAAAACAAAAAAATATTACCAACAAACAAACACACACAAGCCCCAGTCGTGCCTTTCTGTGCTCAACTGCTGATCCTTTCCCTCTCTGTCCCTCCATTCCACAACTGTGCATGTCCTGCTTCCTAGATGGCAACTCCATGAGTCAGAATGGGAATCTGATGCAGCCCAGGACTGACAGAACTGGATCTGGCTGGGATGGGGTTAACTTTCTTCAGGGCAGCTAGAATGGTGCTGTGTTGTGGCTTTAGGACTAACACAGAGTTAATGTTTTACCTACTGCCAGTAGTGTTTGCACAGCATCCAAGTTTTTTTCTGTTCCCACTCCAGCCCTCCAGCAAGCAGAGGAGGGATATACGAGAAGCTGGGAAGAGACACAACCATAGCAGGTAGCCAGAGGGATATTCCATGCCATATGGCATCACACTCAGCAATAAAAGCTGGGAGATTACGAAGGAAGGGGGGATACCCATGGCTATAGAGTACATTCCCAAGTACACATCAGACATTATGAAGCCCCACTTTCTTAGAAACATCTGCCAGCTGATGGGAAGGAGTAAGTAATTTCTTTATTTTGCTTTAGTCACACATCCAGCTATTCTCTATTAAACTGTCTTTATCTTGATCCACAAGTTTTTTCTCCCTTTCACCTTTCTGATTCCCTCCCTGTCCCACTGAGGGGAAGTGAGTAGTTAGCTAGGGGTTTCACTGCCTCCTGGGGTCAACCCACTGCTGTGCCCTAATAACAAATGGTTGCATTTCAGACAAAACCATCCCTACAGATCTGACTTGTTCTGCAACTGCAAATGTTTCTGATACTGCCTTTGCGCAAAAGGCAACACAGGAAAAAACAACAACTGGATTTCTGCCTTTGGCAGCAGTACACGCTTGTAATTGGAAGTTAAAGTGACCGTTAGAGCCTCAGAGTACCTCTGTGCTTCAGATTGCAGCAGAGCATGTAAATGCTCACAGACAACAAGATGGATTCACAGTCAAGGTACAGCACCATAAGCTCCTCTGTGGGAAAACTGGTCTCAAATAATGTAATGACTTTGCGAAATCACTTTTTTCATTATTCCAACCTCATTCTCCACTTCCCTTTAATGAAATGTTTGGGTGGGAAACAAATGAAGATGCAGAACAGTGCTTGCTATCAATGTGTAAGCAAGGTTTAACAAGAAATCTTAAAGGGGCAAACAGTAGGAAAAGGCACACCCATAGTGTGCCATATACTCCTACACATAGGAAACAACAAGGAAAAAACAGAACATGTAAAAAATGTTGTTCTTTGGGAAGGAGTTTGTCAGTGAATACTACACACATTCAGCTATGACACTGCATCCAAAATACACCATTTTATTTAAGCATCCCAAGGAAATCTGCAGTGAGTCTCCATAACCAAGCTGAGGATTACCTGCAGGAGCAATACATGAGCTGGTCATAAGTGTAGAGTCATTCACCATGAACCCCAAGTTAAAAAGCAATTCCCAGGCTTGACAGGTTTAGGCAGGACTGACCTAATTGTCCATTCTCTGTGTTCCCAGACCAAGAAAGCTCAGGACTGAGCCACCCTGGTCTCCTTTAACCTCCTTACATTGTGTTCACCACTGGCCCTGTCTGACCCAGTACTGGAAGCAGCTACAGCACCAGAACCATGATAGGATGGGAGGTATCTCTGCATCATGCCTCAAACAACTACAAGGTGATTTATGAGATGGGACACAGCACAGAAGAGTTAGGGAGCTAGCTCACAACCAGCAGTGATCACAGGCCAAACACCAGGAACGAGCAGCATAAGGGGACTGAAGGTTTACAGCACACATCACTTCAGCCTGACACTTTACACTGTATCCTTGGAATAGCCCAAGTTACCCAGGATTTTCCTAGATACCACTGTCACACAATGGGCTGAATTTCATTTGTGGATGTACAGAATACACAGAAAAACAATGAAAAACCACAATAAATGGAATAAACAACTTGGAATGTATTTGCCAGTCCCATGCCATTACTTTTGTGTGATCACAGCTGTTGTCTTTACTGCAATAAGGGTTACCTTTTTGAATTACATGAGCCACATGGGTAAAAAAAAAGATAACTGATTAATATTTGAGATCCAGATAATATCTATTCATTTATTCTGGGATGGTAGATGGATTTTAGAATAAATCTGCATAGACAGTGCTATCTGACAACATGCAACACATCTAAAGAAATGTATTAATTATTAGAATAAGGCTTGTCTTCATGGAAACTAGCAAAAATTTTTTTTAAAAATCACACAAGGAAATATTACAGATCTTGAGAAAAAATACACTATATCAATGTTAAAAAATATATTCCATCACCTGTAATTGTCTCTAAAAGGGAAAGCAAAACTACTTAATCAAAAGACCCTTTTCTTGTAAGAGATGTTAAAAATATACTAGACATTAAATGTTAGTACATAATCAGTTAATACACCCAATCTTTCTGATTAGAAATTAACAATGCTTTCTAAACACTTTTCTTTGTAGCATTTAAATCATAAACTGAAATTCTTGTTATAACCCAACCCACCTTCTGAGAGGAGATGCATAAGATACAACAGTTACTAGTAAGTAAACAGGTGCATTGCTGGTACTCTCTGAAAAAGAGCCATCACCCTTGAAATAAGTTTTCTCCTTAAACTGTATCACATTATGTCTTCCCCATGCACCTACCATTCAATTCATGGTTTCAACCAGCTTTCCCACTACATACATGCTTTCAGGAAATTAACATTTGTGACTGCAAGCTTTACACAGTTTGTCCATTGCAGAAAGAGCCCTGCTAGCTCTTGACATGCAGAGTAAACTTACTCAGGATAATGAGATGGGCCTGTCATATCGACGGTTTCATAAACCAGTTTAAGTTTACGCGTTTGACAGTAATGGTTGATCTTCGTCATATACTCACGATCCATTTTGACACAATCTTCAACAGATGCTGCAAAATAACATTCAAAGATGTATCTGTTACTCTAGATATAGAATAAAGGCAGTCCCTAATCCTAGTAGATAGGTCACTGCTGATATATGAATGAGGTCCCATATATACCAATTCCATAAACCACAAACTTAAAATTTAGCAGCAATTTTAACTGAGGTCAGCAATTTTAATTGAGATGAAATAAAACAATAAGATATAATTCAATAGTTACAGAAAAGACATTTGGCAGTGGTTCAGATAAAGCATAAGTAAAAACCAACCGATCGGGGTACGGGGCGGGCTTCCCACCTGCCTCCCGTACAAAGGCAAAAGGTTCCAAACACAACTTATATACTGTATGCTAATACATATTCATGAACAGTTCCCATAAATCACCTTCTATTTTCGATTCTTGCAACCTGTGTCACTCTACTGCACAGTGCATGCTTCCATTTGTTGCTATGGGGTCTTCTGGTCTCTTCGGGCGTCTTCCTGGAGGAAGGCCAAAGGTCTTCCTCACATGTCCTCTGGATAACTCGGCAGGTGACGCATGAGCATTAAGCTTGGTGTTATACAAGTACATACTATGTTCCAATTAATTTATTTCATAGCTAAGACCACTATTTTAGACTCCCTGTCTGGAATGGTCCCAACTTTATTCATATTCAAGGTCGATCCTGCTCTAGGAGTTGTCTTTTAACTTCAGTTGATGCCAATTTCGGTTTGGGACTTTGACTTCCTCCATTCCCAAGGCCGAATCCAATTCCTGCATCCTGTTTCCCACATGTATTCTTGATGAAACTCATATGCTTCATAACACTAATCACATATACTTTTCAGTTATTTTCCCAAATTATTGATATAATTACAATTTTGTTAGCAAAATCACATCCATTTATAACACTGCTTTAATACAAAATAGAAGACTGATGCCAATAACAAAGTTCATGGGAAACTAATTCGAATTTCTATTTCATATGATTAGTCAGCAAATGTTTTGGAAGTCATTGCTTGCAATAAGGGTTTTAGAAACCAGAGTGGAGAATTCAGTTATTAGAGAAGATTTCTTAGCATATTTCTTGACAGAAAAAGATTGAATCATGCACTGATTTCTGTGGGAGGAAAATAATCAGTAACGTTTCTCCAGAATTAGAAGGGAACCCGACGGCACGTAACATATCCCCTTCGAGCAGCGGTGACGCCAGGCTCAGCCGCACGGACCAAAGATGACCCCAGGGCTCCCCAGCCGCGCTGCGGGCACCCCATCTCGCACGGACCCCTGCCCTTCCTCCCGCGCCCCCGCCCCGCCGGTACCTCCGAGCCGCTGCCGACGCTCCGGATCCCGCGGACACTGCAGCAGCCGGCCGGCGCGGCGCGCAGAGCCCGCCCCGTTTCGTTTCCCGCAGCGCCGGCCCGCGTTAGAGCGAAAACGAAAGCGAAAGGCAGGCGAGGGCGGGGAAGGCGCGCAGGCAGTGGGGCGGCTCTGGCCCCAGCCCGACACAAGGAGCGGCGGCTCTGCCCAGCGCTCCTGGGCCTGCGGGGAACCAGGGCTCCGAGGCAAGCGAGCGGCTTCGCACAGACCTGCCCCCCCGGCCTTTTCCTGTCACAGTAACCACGCGCTATGGCTCAGCAGCATGGCCAGCGGGCAGCAGTGCGCACCCAAATACATCCGAACGCCTCAAGCCCAAGAACCCCCAGGGTTTTATACCCTCAGAGTCTGTCCCACGGCATCAGTCCCGCTCTTCCTTCTCGTCTTCTCCTGCTTCCCTGCTCTTTGTTCATACATCGCACTGGCGTCACCTTATCCAAAGGGTCGGCAGTCACCAGCCCCTGCTGTTACTCTCAGCTGGCCATTCACCTGCCTGCAGTCACCTGTCTTCATGTCCTTTGTTATCCCAAAAGATGGGAATTCATAGTCTCGAGGTCCAACCAGGAGCCCAATGTGCATTTCATTCTGTGGATTACAGAATGACAAGACACCTTTGTGAGAAATATTCCTCAACACAATTGAGCTTGAAATATATTATAGGTATCACTTTGTAATAAATCTCTTACTGGGATAAAGGGGGAAAAAAGTCAGCCACCAAAGTAATAATATATTCTGTGCAAGTGAGAAGGAAATCTCCAAGATTAGTTTTCAGGGGCTACATGTAAAAGATGGAGCAGATGACTTCCTGTGCAGGCAGGTCACCTACTCCTGATTGCCTAGATTTGATTCCCATCCCCTGCAAGGTCTCTCTCCAGCTGTAGAAAAGAAAAACAGCAGTAAGCCTTAGGTCTTCCTCAGTATGAGGAAACAGCTTGGGCACCCAGGAAGCTCACCTGCTCTCTCATAATGCTAACACAGCCAAAAAGGAACCCATTGAGATACCAGTGGAGATGCAGGAAAAAACCATCAGAGAGTTCCAAATGTTGAACTCCTAAACACAATCATCTTGGAGAAAAAAACAAACAAACAAACAAACAAAAAAACCCCAAAACTCAAACAAACTATGATATGGGTCGAATTATTCACAAATTATTATTTACATATGGACAACAAGTTTAACAAGTTTTCTTTGGAAGTAGGGCCCCTTGGCTGGGACTGAGCCTGTGCAGCCTGGTGGGAGGGGCATGTGGTGACGTCAGGAAGTGTTTATTATGTTTTTCATTTTTTAAAGGTACCCAGAGCAACTTCTTGTTTAAAGATACCAAATTGGCATTCTTACATTATCACTTCTAGAATGTGCACTCTATCTTATGTTTCAGTTTGTCACCTACTCAGGTTTCCTGAGTACTCAGTTTCCTGTTCTTTCCTGTCCTGAGTACTGAGTCTCCTACTCAGTTTCCTGTTCTTTTCCTGATTCTCAGCTTCTGCGAGGGGTTTCCAGCCCCTAGTGAGCCCGCAGAACTAGAAACAGGAGAACAGACAGGAGAAAGTAACGCACTTGCTGATAGAAAAATGGTCCAAATGGTCCTTGAAAGCAAAAACATTAATTTTATGTAAATGTACCTTTTTCCAAAAGTACACATAGGATCCACTGCTCACTGTCTGCAATGCAGGGCTCTCTGAAACAAATGTCATCTTCCTAAGTAGAATGAATCATAGAAATTCAGCTATTTTTAATCACTCTTTTGTGTAAATTCTGAAAAACAGTAATTCAGTAGAGGCTCATGAAATCCACATGCCTAACACCTCTTCTGTCTTATCAAGCAAAACTAGCACATTTTATTAGAACTTCATTAAAACTCCTCTTATTGCCTTAACTACAGGATCCCTAGCCATCGCTGTTTCTCTCTCCTTAAAGGCTTGTCTTCTGTAGTTTTATTTGCCATATGCCAAGCTTTTGGGAACAATTACTTTGGCCTTGCATGTGATTCAATGTCTTCTATCAGATAAGGAGATTCCTATCAAAGGTGCGGTTTGTAGAACTGAAAGTGACCTGGAGTGAACTTCCAGTTTTTTGATAAGAGACAAAGTTTCCTCTAGCTTTGTGAATTGCAGTTAATGATTCATGTCTAATTGACATTAGCAGTATTAAACACAAATTAAATTAAGAAAATTTGCTAGATGGCTGTTAAAAAACATCCCTTGTGTTTCTCAAAACATTATCAATGAACAAGAACCTGTTAAACTTCACCTTGGGGAAAAACATCAATTCTGAAACAGCCTTTGGTAATATACACCTAAAAATCTTGTTCTATGAAGCTGTTCAGGCTTTCATTTGAATGCCTTTGTAATTCACTTGCTCTATAAAATATTGACTTTTGCAGTTTCAAATAATCCATTCTTATACGGGGTTCTCAAAATAGTGGAGTTACAGACTTTGGCTTTATTAGGAACAGTTGCTGATGGATGATTTAATCCCCGTGCTGTAGCTGCTGTGCCCAGAGGCAACTGCAGAAGGACACGCTCCAGAAGGTAACAGGGAAGCCGGGAAAGCCGAACTGAACCGAATCTTTTGCGTGCGCGTCTTCCTCCTCCTCCTTCTTCGTGCAGGTCGCTATTTACGGAATGCTTCGGAGTGAAAACCTGCAAACTTCGGCATCTTTGGGCGCCACGCCACGACCCCGTGCAGGGACCTGTTTGGTGCCGTTCCTAAGGCTGGGACAGGCTTTCCCAGCGGCAGTAGCCGCTAGCCCGGGGCTGGTACAGCCAGCCAAGCTGCCGCCAACAGCCGGGAGTGGGCAAGCCTGCCCGGGTGGAAGCGCTGCGGGGGGAATTCTTCCAGGACAAAGCTGTTCCCTTGGCAGCATCTCAACACGTTGTTTTCCAACCAGGTGCCAGCTGTCCCGTTGTCTCATCCAGAAAGCATTCCTACACAGAGAAAGATTAAAACAAACAAACAAACAAACAAAAAAACCCCAACCAAAATCAAAGCAAAACATCAAACATCGAAGCACATCCCAAGTACCGCGGACCCACCCACCACACCCGGGGCCCCGCAGAGTCGCTCCTGCTCCCGGGCTCAGCTGCCGCCCCGCCCACGGCCGCACGGCAAGGGGCGCGCCGCCACACCCACGGGTAGCCGGGGCACTGGAGCTCCCGCCGCAGCCTTTCTTCCCTGGCCGGCGCCACCACCGGCCCCCACGAGCTACCGGGATTCGGGCAGGGTCACCTCGTAGCCCATTCCAGAGCCCTGCGCGCCCTCAACCCTCCTTCTCTGGGGGGCGGGAGGGGCACCTGGTAGCGCCGAGCTCCGCCCGCCGCCCAGCGCGCTCCGGGCAGCGCCGTCCCCGCCGGGCCCCGCCCCGCGGGCCTGACGTGAGGGGCGGCCCCGGGGCGGCCCCGCTGCGCTGAGCCGGGCAGGGGCGGCTCTGCCGGCGCTCCGCCGCTCCCCTCCGCCGTCCGAGCGGGGCGGCAGTCGCGGGAGGCGTTGCCATGGGGTTGCACGGCGTCAAGGCGGTGTTCTTCGACCTGGACAACACGCTGATCGACACGGCGGCGGCGGGGCGGCGCGCCATCGAGGAGGTACTGCCCTTGTCCCCCTTCCGACACGGGCCCCGCGGCCAGCGCGGCTCCCGGCGCGGCGGCGGCGGTGCCGCGCGGGTCCCGTTCCCTTCCCTCTGACGCGCGGCCCCGCCGCGCCCTGACGCGCGCCCCCGCGTCCCTTGCAGGTGATCGGCGCCCTGCAGTCCAAGCACCGCTACGGGGAGGGAGAGGCCCGCGCTGTCTGCGATAAAGTCCAGGCCAAGCTCCTCAAGGAGTGCCACGATCCCGCCAAGATGTGCATCACAGACCTGCGGATTTCGCACTGGGAGGAGGCGATCCAGGAGACCATCGGGGGGGAGGCGAACCGCGACCTGGCGGCCGAGTGCTATTACTTGTGGAAGACGACGCGGCTGCAGCACCTGACGCTGGCCGAGGACACGCGGGCCATGCTCACCGAGCTGCGGAAAAGCCTCCGCCTGCTGCTCCTCACCAACGGCGACCAGCAGACGCAGAGGGAGAAGATCGAGGCGTGCGCCTGCCAGCCCTACTTCGATGCCATCGTTGTGGGGGGAGAGCAGAAAGAGGAGAAACCAGCGCCATCCATATTTCATTACTGCTGCGATCTCCTGGGGGTGCAGCCCGCAGAGTGTGTGATGGTCGGTGACTCTCTAGATACAGATATTCAAGGAGGCCTGAATGCTGGCTTGAAAGCAACGGTCTGGATAAACAAAACAATGACTGCCCCGGTAGATACCACACCCGTACCTCATTATATTATTTCTTCTGTACTGGATCTTCCAGCAGTTTTACAGAAGATGGAGCACAACATTAATGCTAAGTTAGAAACTGACCATATGGCTAGTAGCAATGAACCACACTGATGATGGTTCCAGCATACAGAGACCTGCTGAGCTGTTAGGTGACAGATGCTCTTTTTAAAAGTCTGACCCTAGGAATTTGAACTCATCTATGGTCTCTTTTAAACAGCAGAGCGATGAATAAGAGCACAGTTGTCAGTGCAAATAGGACAGAAACACAGAGTTATATTGATTTAAATTATGCAAGTGCAGCTAATTTAAAGCAACTGCCTCTGGAAATTATTTTGGCAGACTGTGGCAGAAGTCTGTCTGTCTCTGACCTAAGCTGCCAGTCTCTTGTTTTTATAGTGGAAAAGAAAATTTGAATGTTCTGAGTTTTCACATGCTTTGCTGACTTGTAAGATTAGCAAAATCTTCAGTTCTGACCTTGTGTGCAGTGTGTAAGAGAAGGTGAGAAAGAGAGTGTGGTACAATCTGGTAAATCTTCACAACTGATCTACAGTTTATCTCAGGAACTGGACTGAATTTCATTATTTCTCAGAGTATTAGAAATGCTCTACCTTTGATCTTTTTTTACAAGTTTTAGAATTTTTTTTCTGACTTTGCAGTGGTTTTTCTTTTATGAAACTTGTATCTCTTGCCAAAAGTACTTAAACATACATGAAAAATTAGCTTTTTTATCGGGGACCATTTATCAGAGGGACTTGATGAATAAGCTTCTACTTTATATTATCTTGTTGCTTATGCAGATATGCAGTATACTTGTGATTCAGATTATGATTTTGGTTGAAATGGATAAAACAGGGATATTTTCAATAGTGTTACTGTACTGTAAGACTTTTCAGAAGCTAATATCATTGTTCTGTCTGATTTTATCAGTGAATTTTGATCAGACATTTTGGAGAAACTGTTTTTGTTCTTGCTCACATGTATGATTACTCAGATTCAACTGTAGAATCAGTGGCTTTTTTGGCTGTTTTAATGGCACTGCTATATAATCACTTCTTACTCCAGTTTGCATGTGTAATTCATGTGATTTATTCTGGAGAAAATACAAGCTAATTGTCTGTAAATTGCTCTCATTTCTCTCTTTCAGGAAACTGGAAAATTATGTCCTGTGTATTACAGTACTATATACAACTTTATAAGGTATATGTGATATTTCCACTACATGTAGGAGATGACTCTCTAAAACAGTAAGGTTTCATTTTTCCCCAGATCATTACATCCATTTATTTTTTTCTGTGCCTCATATTCTTACTACATAATGGGGAAGTATTCTCATATTAAATGGAAATGTAGGCACTCGTTGGCAAGTCTGTGGTTTTCAACCCTATTTGCTATATATTCACCAGGATGAGTATAAGACCATATATGAAAAGCCAAATTTTATGTTTTGAATAATTCCATGACAGATCTTTTGAGAACAGGGGTATTAGGCTACTGGCAGAAGAGTGTCTGGCATGTGGACAGCAATTAGAAGTACAGAAACCTACTATGAAATGGGTGTGTAGAAGAAACATAATATACAAAATATACAAAAAACATTCATGTCAAATTAAACCAAGGAACATAAGTTAATGCAGTTAAGTCTTGCATAGGATGAAACAGTTAGTTTAGAGGAGGCTGTTACTGGTTTGGGTTAAATTATTTGATTTGGAGTTTAGGTTGGATCAAAAATGTTGCTCCTACATTGAGGAGGGGGAATACAAGAAAATAAATACTAAATTTGGAACCCCTTTCCCAACTGTCCATTAGAAAAGGTAAAGCAGTCCACATTCCTTTTCTTACCTGGCCAAGGCTGTTGAGACATCAGCTCAAGGAAGAGTACAGAGAAAGACCCCGCCTATTCCTTTGAGGAAATGGGCATATATTGAAAACAATCCAATTACAGTGGTACAGTAATGTGAACCAGTGGCACTGACGTGTCACACCTTCTGAAGGAAGAGGCCTAAGTTAAGATTTTTGTTTGCATTTAAGGAGCCTGGAAACAGTCACTGGTTTAGCTGATAAGCAAAACACTGCTAATAGCATTTCTTAGAACTGATGATTGAGACAAGAATAATAAAGATCATTGAGCCTGTCTGGGATACTGTTAAAAATAGAAATGTATCCAAAAGATTAGAAGGATCCCTGAAGTAATCTAACTATACCATCTAATACAAAAGCAACAACTTTGCTTACAACAGCATCCCAAAGGAGCTACACAGTAACTGACTCTGCCTTGTTTGCGCAGCAGCAGAGTAGTAGAACTCAGGTCAGAATTTTCTGAGGTTTCTGATACAGCTGATATTTAAAATAACAAATAATAATAACTCATAAGTCTGTCCGTGGGTTTGAAGGAGATATAGATACATAAATATATAGATATATATTACACCAGGTTACCATTTTTTAATCTAAGTTGAGGCTCATATTCTTTTGCCCCTGCATCATTCTGAAGTGACATGCTGAGCCTGCTTATTGTATAAAGGGTCTCTTGTTTTAGAAGAGACTGCCCTTTGTTTTGCACATGGCCAGCCATTCCTTTTCATCTCTGACTCTGAAAAACCACAGTAACTGCACACTCAGGTGACAGTAGAGGCTACAGCTGAGATTATTTTTCCATTTCTGACTTCTGTACCAGGCTGAATGTGGCTACTGGTGTCCAGAGAGGGAAACACTGTTTTGATGCTTCTGTAAAACAAGGAGAAACAATACAAGACTTTTCTCTCTTATCTAGGGCCATTCTTAAAAGCAGTTACCCAGTAATGGATTAGGTGTGTGGAGTATCTCTAAATACTCAAGATGTTTTTCTTAGATAGAGCTGTTGCAGAAAGGATAATGAAAAATAATTATGTCCAGTAAATTGGAAACATAAATGTAGTGATGGTATAATTTTCCCATCAGAAGCAGAAACAAATCAATTAAACAGTCTAGTAAGAGTTCCCATTAAATTCTGGTATGCTTAGTGTTACGCTCTGTTAGCTAAGTTATGTGGTTTAAACTATATTTCCAAAACATGCAAAATGAAAAGAGGAAAAGGAAATTCCATCTGTATTTTTTAAACTTTTTTTTTTCCAGACGAATGTTACCTCCTGAGGTTAATCTACAGTAACTTTGACTTCATTGACATGAACTGAAACAATAATTTAATACCAACTATATTCTAACTCTTGATTTAAAATAACCCATGTATTAGTCTAATAAAAGTATTTTGTTTATAAAATGTATGTTTGAACATTCTGAATTGCTGTGGATAAATACAACAAAGGACAAGAGTTCTGTTTGGTTTTTAAAATAGCACAGAATTAGGATTTGAAATCTATGACCTCATGTTTAGATGTGGTGACTAGGTGTAGTTTCTGTAATTTCAAACAGAGGCTGGAACATAGTTACGTGTTTATGAAGATTCATGGCCAGACTGAATGTTGAATTGCCAGCTGCAGTTCAGTGGTAGTTGAACCTGACTTGCCAAGAATGCCAGCTCACATAAGCCTGCATGTCCTGACATCATGGCATTGGCTGCTGCAACAGCATAAGAACAGACTGCAAGAAGAGAAAATCAGTAAATACAGAAATCTCAAGTCCAGGGAACCCATTCTGGCAGGTTATGGGTGCACAAAGCCATGTCTGAGCTATTGCTACACTGACCTCTGTGACTTAGGAGAGGGGGAGGGTGGGAGGTTGCTCACTTTGTGGCTGTTTTGGCGGCAGAAAAGCAAGCTGCTCCCTTACTGTTTTCTGTTGGGTAATGGAACAAATAGTCCATCTTTTGGACCTGTGGAGATAGATGGAAAGGTAAAAAGGTATTTTAAGTCACTGCAGATGACTTAAACAGAGTAAAGGAGGGCTCAGCTTCTATTGCAGGCACTTGGCCATGCCAGCAGGCTGTCTACAGCATCACACACCTGCACAGCACAGCCTTTCTGTTCTTGTGGAGAAAGC